AGGTGCCTTCAGCTGCAGCCGAGCTGGGGACCCCTGGATTCAGAGGGGCTGCATGAAAATGAGACAAGCACAGAGAGAGAAAAACTCAAAAGGAGAATTAATGCTGGTACCTGTGTGGCCAAGAAGGCCCGGCACCCCGCCCCAGCATGAACCTGTGTCACAACCCATACATTTCCAAAAGATGTTTCACTATATGGGGCTCACTTGGTAGCCACTCTACCCAAAAATACCCTTCTCATGCCTGGACAGTTGTTTCTTGGGAGAAGAAAGCACTGAACTCATTCCTGGTCCATTTTGCACCTCCCTCCAGGATGCTCCCCTGGCACTTGAGCAACTGTGGATGAGACAAGGACCATGGCCAGGGCCCTGCTGGCATCAAGCAGGGTGCAGGGCAGTGCTGAGCCCTCTCCATTGGCAGAATGAGACCTGATGTCCCATGGAATGAGCCAGTTTGTTCTGGACTGGCTGTGTGAGAGCAGAAATATGAGATCCCCCCCACCAAGCCCCTGAGCATCCCTGGTTCTGGCTATAAACTTCCTTCCAAGGAGGATCTTTACAGAGTGTAGCCAAGATGCTCTACAAGCTGCAGCCATCCCCCACCCCCTCCCCAAGAGGAATTGCTCTCACACAAATGAAATGTGTGTAATTAATGGGCAGGGGGCTGGACAGGTCCGAGATGAAAGCGTTTCCTGGACTTGTCCTTCATTTGCATGGTATCAGAAGCTGTTCAGAAGGTGTGACTTTTCCCACAGGGAGCCCTCAGCTCGGTGGCACAATAAAGCCAGGACTTCTTACCCAGAATTAATTAAAGGAGGGGGATGGGGATGGCAGGGAGATGTTTGAAAGCTGAGCCTCATGCAATAAACAAACACCCCGATCCTTCTTCCCGAGCCAGGGCAGGCCCAAGGCGCCCTGTCAAGCCCCAGCCCCATTATGGCACTGGGCAGCCCACCTTGCTCCTCAGGCACCTTCCCCGAGCAGACCTGGTGGGAGAGTCCCTGTGGGCTGGTCGCAGTGAAGACCAACAGGGCTGATTTCTTAAGGGAAGAGATGGGAGTAGAAACTGTGTCCCCAGAAGTCTGGGACTCAGTTTTCTCCAAGTCCTGCATGTCCAGGAAAGTGCATGCACTGCTCTTTGAAGCTCAGGACCATGCAGTCACCCAGGGACAAGCAGACGAGGAAGCTGTGTCTCCTCCTTCATCTACCAGATCTCTCTGAGCAGTTGGTAGCTGGTGACAGCGAGGGGACTGTGGGGTGACGCTTTGAAAGGAAGCAGGAGGGATGAGCGCTTCCCTGTCATGAGGAATTTGCTAGTTCCAGTTGCATCCCTGTCACTCTACTGGCTCCCCCAATGCCAAAGACTTCTGGAGGGGATACTTGGGAAGCTGGGCAGTTCCTCCTGCCTCCCACTGCTCAGGAGCAGGAGCTTCTCCCCAAAACACCCATGTTAAAAGCATGAGGTAAGGGGAGGAAATGTCTACCTCCAAAGCCTCCTCTCCCACCGCTTTGCAGAGTCCAGCCTTTGCCCAGTGCCCTATGGCCCTACTGCTTTCAGGCATTTTAAGACGGGATTTTTAAGCTTGGTCTGCACACACACATCTCCTAGTGAGGAAGGAGGCAGGAAGCATCTCCAGGTCCCTGGCACTGGTCAGAGCTGATGCTCGGCTCCATTCGTTCATCCGGTGGGCAGGCATGCCTGGGGGAACAACCAGAAACACCTGAGGTTGTCCCCATCTCTGTAGGGGTGGCGGGAGCTCCAGCACTAGTGCACATGCACCCTGCAGGACTCAGGCCACCACGAGGGGTGCCAGCCAGGCCAGGGACCCAGCAATATCAGTGCAGGGTATGAGGAGCCATTAATTAATTCACTTACTCATTAACTAAGTAGCAGTAGGTTCTTTCATCTTCCAAGCAAAGGCAAAACAGCAGTTGCTGGCTGGAAGCTGGGGCTAGAGAGATTCCAGCAATAAACAGAGGCCCAAACCGCAGCACTCCTGGGCAGCATGGCAGCCCACAAGCTTTCTAACGAAGAGACGCTAATTAGCCATGGGAGAGACTTACCAGAGCCAAGGCTGGCCAAGCCAGTGGTCAGCACATGGTGCAGCTCAGCAATGAGGACACGCGCAGTGTCTGGCCCTGGACTTGAGCTCTCATGTCCTCCCAGCCTGAGATGCTGGTGGCCCAAGGGCTGCCTGGTGCTCCCGGGGCAGGAGACCAGCCTGGCCTGGGGCTGAGCACCCCTGAGGACAGGGATGTCTGCTGACCCGTGTGGAGTCAGTCCTACCAACCATAGCTAGGACAGCAGCTCAGCACCCATTCAGCCAGGCTTCATGGAGCCATTAGGAAAAGCAATTAGACAAATTAATGAACACAAAGCACCCATTAAGGACAATCAAACACCATCTCTGAGCTGGGAAGGGCCAGGAGCCATTCACTTTTATTCCCTGCAGCCTGGAGACTCCAGCACCGGCTTGCCCAGGGCCATTGGCGCCAGGCTTCTCCAGCCCATGGGTGCCTCAAAGGACAGCCAGGCAAGCACCCTCCACCTTAGCAGAGCCATGCTGTGGTGTGAGCATCACCCACAGCTGCCCCAGGACATCTGCAAGGCCTAGAAGTCAGCTCCTGGGGTTTCCTTCTCAAAATTAAGGAATACGTAGTGTCAGATCAGCCCAGATCATGACATGCATGGAACATGTCTTTCAGCATCACCCTGGGAATGGCTTGAACTCAGGTCCTGCCTGAGATGGGCCCCTGCCTGCACATCAGTCTGGGCCACAGACACACCACAACGGTGACAGTGCCAGTGGGGCTGGTGAGACTCTCTGCCCCAGAGCCTGCTCCACTTCTATTCATCTTTTTTCTCCTAGCATCTTTAGCAATTCTGTCGGTGCATCCTTCCATACCTGGCTAACAACACAACATGCCTGCTCTGCCCCAGCATCACTCAGGGGACCAACAGTTGGCTGACCCAGAAAGGGGACAACAAGATCCCTGTGCTGAAAAGGGAGGAAAACTCTCACCGCAGGCTCCTCAGGTAAGACCCAGCATCAGAGGATCCTGGTTTGGTTTACACAGTCTCAGAGGCTCCAGAAAAACCTCCTCTAGAGTAGAGGAATCAGCATTTGTGGGGAGGAAAATCCCCTCTGATATTTAAACTCCTAGATCAATGTTTTGGCTCTGTTACAGTCTGTCCCAAAAATCCCCTCTGATATTTAAACTCCTGGCCTAGATCGATGTTTTGGCTCTGTTACAGTCTGTCCCAGCTCAGCCTGGAAAGAGATGACCACCAAAGGGTAGGGAGAGGGGGTCCACCCATTAAAGGGAGATTTCACTGCAAGGAAAATGCATAAAATACATTATTCGGACCAGAGCCAGCTGGGCCTGCAGTCCTAGGGCATCCCGCCTCTTCCCACCCAGGCCCCATCCTGCACCTCTCCATCCTTCAGCCTTGCCATCCCTGGAAAGCAGGCAGGTTTACAGAGACTAATACAAAGTTTTAATGCACATATTAAATAAATATTTCATTCATTTAATATTAAATTTGTACACAACCAAAAAAAAAAAACCCTCAAGAAAACAAATAGAAAACAAACAATCCGAAAGTTTGGATGAAAAGTCCCTCCAGCCCTGGCTAATATCCAGTGTCTGTGTCTGCCCTCCCACTTCAGAACAGCAACTGACTTTAACCCTGCAGAGAGGGGCAGGTCCAGGGCAGCACTTCCAGGGCCAGGCTGGCTGGGCATCTGCATGCAGAAGACTTGATGTTTCCTTTTTTTTTTTTTTTTTTTTTTTGGTAAAATACAAAACTAGGCTTCTGTCAATGCAGAAGTCTTTAAAGAAAATGACCCCTTTCCTAGGAGGAAGGCAGGCAACATTTCTTGGAGAGCAAACCTGAGACAGTTAAAAACTGAGGTGTCAGTCATGAACTGAGTATTATGGAGAGGGAAAAAAAAAAAAAAAAAAAAAAAAAAAGAAAGAAAGAAAGAAAAAGTACCCTGAATATCTACAAAGTAAATTTTGACATTTTTTTCTTTTTAAAATGAAGGATGAAAATTTTCTTGTGATTAAAAAAAAAAATAAATAAAGTTTTGGTAGAGTTCACATTGTGGACATGGAAAAAAAATGAAGAAAAAATAAATAAAACATGACACCAGCAACCAGTCCGCTCCAGTGCGGTCATCACCTACTGCCTCACCTTAGTAGCTTTAAAAAAACGGCAAGGGTGCCCTTGTGGGTAAGAGGTACCAAGTCAATACAGGGCTTTCTCTGGGGCGTCCACCACCCCGTCCTCTCCTGAGGAGAAAAAAAAAAAAAAGTGGGAAGCATCTTCAACAGCATCTTCTGAAGAATTCAAGAAGCTTCCAGCAACCAACTGGAGTTTCCAGCTCAGGAAATAGGTGCCTTAGAGGAGGGGAAACATTCAGTGGATCCATGGGGACCAGGCAATGGGCAGGTGCCCACGGTGTCTGGGAGAAGGACCCAGGAGTTCTCAGTCCCCTCCGGATGGGCACCCTGCCCTTGGGTGCCAACCTCTCCATCTTCTCTGGCAAGCAGTAATTCGGTTCCTCTATGTGTGGGCACTGCTCTCTTATCTGTATAAGATTTTTCTTTTTTTTTTTTCTTGTTTGTTTTAAACAGTGATTTTTTTTCTTCTCCCTTCCCCTAGAGCTACAAAAATACAAAACAAAAAACACGACCCCCAAACAGACTAGAACATTTCTAAGTGAAGGAGATTCCCCCCGCCTTCACGTGTCTTTGAACATTTCATTTCTTTTAAAGCTGGAATACAAAAATAGAGCCTCTCTTTTCCTTTTTCTTTTTTTTCCTCCCTTTTTTTCCTCCTTTTTTTTTGTAAAAACAAAAACAATCCCTCAAAGTTATCAATGACTAGAGCAGGTAACTTTTTTTTTCCCCCCTCCCTCCCTTCCTTTTTTAAGAACCGCGTAGGAAAGTCTCTACGCGTGCTCCGAGCTCCTGGAGAGTCCTCCAGCGTGGGCACATCAAGGGCCCGGGCCCGCCTTGGAGTTTCTAGTCCTTTTACTCCTCCGGTTGAAAGGGTAGTTGAGGAACTCGAAGCGCCGGTGGGGCTCGGTGGTCTGGTGGCCCTTGGGCAGGCGCTTCATGAAATGCACCTCGCGCTGGTGCTGCCGCGTCTTGGAGCCCTTGCGCGGGCGGCCCTTGCGCGTGAACGCCATGTACCAGCCCTCGTACTTGGCATTCTGCAGCGCCGTGTAGTTGTTCTCCAGGACAATCTCCGTGAAGACGCAGTCCTTGCCTTTGCCGTTGCTCTGAACAGGGTGAGGAGAGACAGGTCAGCATGGCTTGGACTGGTGAGTTGGTGCTTCTGCACCAGCTTCCCAGCAGGACAGAATTGACCCAAATTTAGTTTTTCCTTCAAAGCTACCATCCTCATACCATGCCCTGGGAGCCATCCCTGCTTGCTGCCAGGCAATTCCTGTTGTGCCCACTGTGAGACTCTGCCTGTCCTAGTGGTCCCGAAACACAGATTGGGTCGCCCCACCAACAAACTCCCTCTACGCCTGTGGCAACCCAGCCACCCTTGATGCAGGAGGGGAGTCAAGGGGATGCAGGATCCATAGGGATGACAAATTGCTGCCTGCAGATGCCGAGATGGCCAAGGTACCTAAAACATCCTAGTTATGTGGGATCAGGGACGGATGCATAGTGGCCTTGAAACAACACTCACAATGGCAAATCTTGCTGGAAATTGCCCACAGGGATGGGAGTGCCACAGCTCAGAGGGAGCGTGACTAACAGGTGCCCGCCAAGGCCCGGACCCGCTCCCCCGCCTTCCCCGCAGCGCCTGGGCGGCCGCGCGGGATCGCACCGGCCCCTCCATGCCCACGCGGCGCTTCCCGGCGTGCCTCTCCAGCCTACCTTGCCGATCAGCTTCCCTTTCTTGTTCATGCAGATGTAGAAGCCGGTCGCAGCACCCTTGATGCGCACGCGGCTCCCGAAGGTGTCCGTCTCCACGATGAGCTTGGCTGCCAGGAGCAGCGGGGAGGAAGGAGAAAGGAGAGGTCACGGTGGCTCCGGTGGGGATGGGCACCTGAGCAGCACTGGTGTCAGCGCCCTCCCCAAGGGCACATGCTGAGCAAGGAGGGAAATGGGCCTCAACAGCCTTGTGTCCCACATTTAGCACCAGGTGCCAGTCCAGTTCCCTCTTCTCCACCACCGTGTCCCCAGGAACAGCGGTGACTTTGTGGCCGGCAGAGGAGGCATGAAGGGTACGGCCACTCTCTTAATGCCTTTCACCTTTGTGCACGCCGAGAGGGCGTATTGATTTGGTCTCAGTTTTTTAATGGAGGCATCGATCTACTTCCGAAGGAGCTATGCAAATCGCTGGGTCGATGGGCTGCCTATAAATAGACCTGTCACCTTCCGTCCCCAACCTCCTCCCGGGGAACCCGAGCCCCGGAACCTGTGGTCCCAAGGGGCAGGAGGATGGCACAGGGCAACCTCATCCCCAGAGACGGTTCCTCACATCAGGAAGCCTGGAAAAAGCCTGGCTCAGGACGGCACTGCCTGGTTGGGAAGCTGAAGGGCTACACTGCGGAGCCCAGAAAATCAGGAATATTTTGGCCTCCATGCCACCGGTCCCCAAAAACAGTGAACAGAGCTGTGTCTGCCCACAAGCAGAGCACCGAGACCCCCGGTTATTGGGGAAGGTGGGGGGGATTGATTGGGGTGACAGTAAAAGGTTTGAGGAACATTGATTTTTCTTGCCTAGAGCTGGAGCGAGCAGGAGGGAGGCAGGGAGCGAGCAGGGGAGCCCACGGGAGCGGAGAGCACAAAACCCCGCTCTAAAGACGCCCCTTGCTCCCCGTTCTCAAAGGGCGGCTGTGATTTACGGCCGGGATCGCCCGCCTGCCTGCCGGGGCTGCGACAGCAGCACTGCAGACCAGGACAACCTGCTGCTGGCACCGTGAAATCCCAGATTCCACCGGCCCCACGCACAGGAAAAATGCACAAAGCCATGGGGGAAAATAAATAAGTAAACAATCCGTATTAAGACACCTCCAAGGAGAGGCGGCACAGGCCCAGGGAGAGGTTTAATCCGGATTAGAGCTGCTTTTGGTTTGCGCTGCGGCTCAAGAGGAGCAAGTTTGGCTGTGCCGGCCGCTGCTTGGGATGAAGAGAAAAAGAAAGTCAATCACATATTGACAATTAAGACAGATAACCGTGGACGCCGGGCTCGATGTTAAGTTGGCTGTAAAAACGTCAGCGTGGGGAAAGGGGTCATTCACAAGAATAAATCAGCCCCTTTTTACACGCCCGCTCCCAAAAATTAGATCAAAAAAGAAAGAGGAAAAAGAATTAAAAAAAAAAAAAAAAAAGGAATGAAGGTCTTGGCGAAGGGGGGGGGCCTTCCCCCCTTCCCAAAAAGGGGATTTCAAATACCATTTTAGGGGAGTCCTTTTTTTTTTTCTGTTTTGGGGGGGAAGTTAACATTTTCAACTCTATCCTTTCACTTAAGCGACAGATTTATCCCACTAAAATTATGTTTCATGCTAAAAATTTGAAGGGAAAGTGGCTACGTAAACGCTGAAAAAATGCAGCGAGACACACTTGATCCCCCAACTGGACTGCGAAGAGGAGAAAGTATTCAGGAAATGTTAAAAAAGGTGAAAGTAAGAAGCGTTTTAATAGTTCTTCCAGACATGGGGGCCTCCCTGGAGATTCATATAGAACAATCCTGAACCTCTATTTTAACATTTACAGACTTGCAACTCTTTTAAAACTTTACATCTGAAAAACTGCTTGTTCGCTTTCTGCTTTAGATCAACCTTCGTTCGCCTCCCCGTTCCTCCAAACGCTTAGCCCTTTTTATTACATTTTAATAGAGTTTTTCAAGGCACCACAAGTCCCCTCCTCCTGGCCTTATTTAAACCTAGTCGTTATTTAAATATGCACTAACTGCCTTTTAAAATCCAGGCATTACAGGTCTAAAACAAGACGGGTTTTTTTAATGGTTTCACTCGGGAAATTAGCTAAAGCCCTTTCAATCCAGAGTTGCTCAAGGATAAGAATAATTCAGTTGGAAGATTAATGTTATATATAATGTTTTTTATATATATAAATATGATATATGTACATATACAAGTACATGAATATTGTATGTGTGGAATTTAGGCTCCTCTTGAACTTTTGAGATTCATTAAAAATTTTTCATCCAAAGAAAAAAATAATAAAATAAAAAAATAAAAATAAAAAGAGAGGAAGGAAGAAAAGTGTTTCTACTAATCTCCCCAAGCAAGAACGGGAAATTGCAGCTAATACCAAAGGAAAACAGCCACGATCCTGAGGCACACGGGTATGTCCTGCTCAGGACCAGGCTGGCCCGGGCTGCGGGGGCACCGGGGCCGCTGACCGCGGCTGGCGTTTGACCGCCCGAATGTGTCATTAAGGTGAGGATGAGAAGTGCAGGGATGTGGCGTGCCGCTGCCGGGAGTTTGGCAAGGGGGTGCCGCTCACGGGCAACGCTGGGGTGCCAGGAAAGCGCTCCTTGGGGCTCCTCGTTCGGGCACCAGGGGAAAAGGGGGAGTTCAAAGCAGCAGGTCATCTGTTCAGGGTGGGGAGACACGGGACTCTGTTCGGGGTTTTAAACTTGGCTTTCCCTGCCCTCAACCCGCAAGGCTCCAGCCCCGCGCCGCTCATCCCGCACCATCCCTGCGCGCCCCATGGCAGGTGCAGACACAGCTGCGAAGGGAGATGTGGCTGGAGCCCATCCCATGGGCACCGGTCCCTCACTGCCAACCCCGCTGCCACAGACCCCTGCACTCTCCTTCGCAAGCCCAAATCATTTTAACGATTTCTGGCTAAGCAACAGGACAGAAATCATCAATTGCTGCGCAGCAATCGCCTCCCCGTGCCCCCGCTTCACCACACGTCCTTACCATGCACATCCCCATCCTCTGCCATCGCATTGATTTTCTTGTTGTCCAAGATCTGCACATGTTTCCCACTGGTCCGGCTGTACAGCTGGTAGGTACGGACGAGCCGCCGGCTGAGCTGATCCGTCACCAGGCTCTGCTCCCTCACATGCTGTGTAAAATTAGGTGGGGACTGAACAGTTACCTTTAGGAAATTAGAAAATATACAACACACCATTACCATCCCTACTCCTCAGAGGGGCGAATGGGCTGAGCAAAGATCGCCGACCTCCGGCCGCGTTTCACGGGGCAACGGGCTGAGAGAGCCGGGCTCGCTGCGTGCTCCGCACCGCGCCAGCAGCGCCTCCCGAGGAAATGGGGCATGGATCAACGGGAGACGGGAACCGGAGCCCGGCCCGGAGCCGTGCCCGCAGCGGAGCAGGTGACGCCCCGGTCCCGGCCGGGGCCGGAGGGATGGGAACCGAGGCTGGGCTCTGGAGGGGAGCCAGGGAAAACGTGCCTGTGCCTTCCCCCCGAAGCAGGCGCTGCTCCCCAGGCGCCTGCCCCAGCCTCCCTTCCTCCAGGTTCCTCATTTCCTTCTAGGCATCCCACTTTCCCAGTGCTCTCCCAAATACAGGGCTAGCAGAGAAGGTTAAGCTGAAAGGTGCAAGAGAAGGAAAAGGTGCCCTGGGCTGAGTGTTCAGTAGCAGGACAAGCTGGGGACACTAACACGCTGCACACGCAGTTATACCCCGTCACTCGCAGCCAGCTGGCCGGTGCTGCGGTGAGGGCTGCCCCAGCGCTCCAAACCCGTTAGCCCTGGAGCAGCAGCGCCCATCGCTTCCAGAGCCGCGTCTGCTGCCCCGGCGCTCGGGACCACGCGCTTTAAGTGATTTTCACGACAAGCCAAAGCTCCTCTCCCCCGCCACACGCATACTCAGCTCTGGCTCGCGCGCTTGCACAGGAGTCTTTTCAACTCATCTCAACTGCCTCTTTTAAGTCTGGAAAGTTTCGCTTCTCCCTGACATTTATAAAGACGTATTCTGAGCAAATGTTAGGAGATAGCTCCTTTCAACATCAGAAGGCTGGGACTACCCCCCGCCACCCCCACGTCAAATGGGGAGATTTGCTCCGTCTTCAACAACAACAGAAAAAAAAGAAAAGAAAGAAAGAAAGAAAAAAAAAAAGCTAAAGCCACTGCTCTCCCAAAGCCGACTTTATATAGATATCTCCCCTTGACAATGTCATCTCTCGCTCACTCCCTCCCTCTTGCTCCGTGTGTGCATGTGTGTTTCCTATAGACGGTTTTTGGATAATGCAGCGGGATTCTCTCCGCGGCTCTGATGAGGGTACCATGTGGAGGAGAGGTCATTAGCCATGCTGCTATTTGGGCTCCATCTCATGCTCCAAAATATTACAGCTATGTTTTTACACAACTGCTCTTCACTGCCTTTGCTTTTGGGCTGGAAATTCTTTTTTTTTTTTTTTTCCCCACGTTTTCTATTTTAGTTTTAAGGAAAAAAGGGCGGGGGGCATGAAGAAAGGACCCCCTCTCTTAGGGGCATTTCAAACAAAGCTCCTGCACCTGTGATCTCTGGGGAAGGGGGCTTCACCCCAGCTTGGAGCGCACCGCTCCCGGCGGCGCGTGCCTGCTGGTATGCGGGTGTTGCAAAAGCTCTGCCCGGCTGTTTAATCTATTTGTGACACTTCTGTCTCTGGCGATACAAACGAGCGATGCTAAAGTCTGTCCGTTTTAGGATGGATCAAAATTTACACTTTTTTTTTTTTTTAAACTAAGGAAGGTTATTTTTTTCGCCCTCCACTTTGGTTTTTCTTTTTAATTCCACTTTACTTTTTGAACAAGGCTATGTCGGAAAACAACCCCAGACAAGAGGCATGGTCCACAGGAGGGGTGGCAAAATCCTAAAAACCGCTTAAAAACAGCCCTCTGCCGCCGCGTAGCAGCGCGGTACTCGCTGCGGCGCAGCCCGGGCTGCTCCCTCCGCCTCGGGCTTCTGCAGCCGGGCGACTTTTGTCTCCTGTGTTTTAATCTGTTCATCCTCCTCCTCCTGCTCTTCCTCCCTCTCTCCCTGCTGAGCCCCGACCGGCAGCTTTGGGGGCGCCCCCCTCCCCAAGGGGCGCACGGGCACTTACCTGGGCTTGCAGGCACAGGACGAACAAGTGCATTAACCTGGCGGCGGGGGAGAGAAAGCGGGAGAGAGGAGGGAGGCGGGGGCTGCGGGCCGGGCGGCGGGGCCGGG